CCCTCTTTTTTAACTTACTGTTCAGGTTTCTTTTAGTTTTCTAATGTTTTGCTGCTGTAGTTGAATTCTTCTTTGCTTCTATTGAGTTTGACATAATAGTAGTGGAGGCAGGTTTTATCTTCAGCAATGAGCTAAGTAGGAGAAAAAACTGGGCTACTGGCCAAAATGTAAGCTTTTCTGGATACTTGTCACTGTTTCAGTATGGAAATCTTGAGCAGCAAGGTTTCCTGATGCTACATTTCACTCCAGGAGGAATCAAAGTTTTAAACATTTCATACTTAAGGAGAAGCCAGATTTTTTTGACACGACCATAAAAATGAAATAAATTTATCATACAGAAGTACAGTCTAAGCTGTGTGCAAAGGTTAATGGAATGCCTGAAAAGCTTTTTCTTCTATTGCCTCTAAAATGTATGTTGTATTATTGGTATTTCTTAGAATATGAGCTCTTGAATTTAATCACCAGTTCTTAAATTTCTTGTGAATGCGAGGCTAAGCTGGAAGAATGCAAAGTTGCATGAGTACCTCATCATGCTGCAAGGCTGAAGCTGCAGTGGAGTTGACGTGAAAGAAGAATAGTTGGTGCTTCTTCTGACTGGAGAAGCCTCAGAGTTCTAAGGAGCAGTCTGCATTTGCATTTTGTTAGTGGTCTAATACGCCAGAATGTTTTACTTAATGATTTGGTCAGCTGAGTGTAGAATCACCACATATATACCTTTAACATTTAATATTTTAGCCTGGGGAAGACTCACAGTTCACATAAATATTATTATTTGAACTGGCACTGATTTTTTTTTTTATTTTTTTATCCTGATGCCCTTTCATCCTGTTCTGTATTTTCCTCTGTTGTGCTCAGATGTTGAAAATGCATTGAGTGTTGGCTTAACCTTTAATAAATACTTGTTGTTCAGTTATTTTGTGAGAATTTAATGTAGGTATTGAAAACGTTTTAAATGAAACAGAGTAATTTCACTGTTAAATGTGCAAAAATATATATTTGCAAGGTGTTCTTATGCAAGCACATTAGCATAGAATCATAGAATCATTAAGGTTGGAAGAGACCTCCAAGATCATCGAGTCCAACCGTCAACCCAACATCACCAGGCCCACTAAACCATGTCCCTAAGCGCCTCATCTACACGGCTTTTAAATACTTCCAGGGATGGGGACTCAACCACTTCCCTGGGCAGCCTGTTCCAATGTTTAACTACTCTTTCAGTAAAGAAATTTTTCCTTACATCCAATCTAAACCTCCCCTGGCGCAACTTGAGGCCATTTCCTCTCGTCCTTTCGCCAGTTACTTGGGAGAAGAGACCGACACCCACCTCGCTACAACCTCCTTTCAGGTAGTTGTAGAGAGCAATGAGGTCTCCCCTCAGCCTCCTTTTCTCCAGGCTAAACAACCGCAGCTCCCCCAGCCGCTCCTCATCAGGCTTGTTCTCCAGACCCCTCACCAGCCTCGGTGCCCTTCTCTGGACACGCTCCAACATCTCAACATCCTTCTTGTAGTGAGGGGCCCAAAATTGAGCACAGTATTCAAGGTGCGGCCTCACCAGTGCTGAGTACAGGGGCATGATCACTTCCCTGCTCCTGCTGGCCACACTATTTCTGATACAGGCCAGGATGCCATTGGCCTTCTTAACCACCTGGGCACACTGCCGGCTCATGTTCAGCCGGCTGTCAACCAGCACCAAGTTGATGTTTCCAGCCACTCTTCCCCAAGCCTGTAGCGCTGCATGGGGTTGTTGTGGCCAAAGTGCAGGACCCGGCACTTGGCCTTGTTGAATCTCATACAGTTGGCCTGGGCCCATCGATCCAGCCTGTCCAGGTCCCTCTGCAGAGCCTTCCTACCCTCGAGCAGATCAACACTGCCGCCCAACTTGGTGTCGTCTGCAAACTTACTGAGGGTGCACTCGATCCCCTCATCCAGATCATTGATAAAGATATTAAACAGAACTGGCCCCAATACTGAGCCCTGGGGAACACCGCTCGTGACCGGCCGCCAACTGGATTGAACTCCATTTACCACAACTCTCTGGGCCCGGCCGTCCAGCCAGTTTTTGACCCAGCGCAGAGTCCACCTGTCTAAGCTGTGAGCCGCCAGCTTCTCCAGGAGAATGCTGTGGGAGACGGTGTCAAAGGCCTTACTGAAGTCCAGGTAGACCACATCCACAGCCTTTCCCTTGTCCACTAGGCGGGTCACCTGGTCATAGAAGGAGATCAGGTTGGTCAAGCAGGACCTGCCTTCCATAAACCCGTGCTGGCTGGGCCTGATGCCCTGGTTGTCCCGCACCTGCCTTGTGAGCGCCCTCAAGATGATCCGCTCCATGATCTTCCCCGGCACTGAGGTCAGGCTAACAGGCCTGTAGTTCCCCGGATCCTCCTTCCGGCCCTTCTTGTAGATGGGCGTCACATTGGCCAGCCTCCAGTCGTCCGGGACCTCCCCCGTTAACCAGGACTGCTGATAGATGATGGAGAGCAGCTTGGCTAGCTCCTCCGCCAGCTCTCTCAGCACTCTCGGGTGGATCCCATCCGGCCCCATAGACTTGTGAGTATCCAGATGACGTAGCAGGTCGTTGACCGCTTCCTCTTGGATTATGGGGGGTTCATCCTGCTCGCCATCCCTGTTTTCCAGCTCAGGGCGCCGAGTACCCTGAGGGTAACTAGTCTGATTGCTAAAGACTGAGGCAAAGAAGGCATTAAGTACCTCAGCCTTTTCCTCATCCTCGGTGACAATGTTCCCCCCCGCATCCAATAAAGGATGGAGATTCTCCCTGGCTCTCTTCTTGTCATTAATGTATTTGTAAAAACTTTTTTTGTTGTCTTTAACGACAGCGGCCAGGTTGCGTTCTAGCTGGGCTTTTGCCTTTCTCATTTCCTCTCTGCACGACCTAACGAGATCCCTGTACTCTTCTTGAGTCGCCTGCCCCTTCTTCCACAAGTGATAAACTCTCCTTTTTTTCCTGAGTCCCAGCAAAAGCTCCCCGTTCAGTCAGGCCGGTCGTCTTCTCCGCCCGTTCTTCTTGCGGCGTACAGGGACAGCCTGCTCCTGCGCCTTTAAGACTTCCTTCTTGAAGATCGTCCAGCCTTCCTGGACCCCTTTGCCCTTCAGGATGGTCTCCCAAGGGACTCTCTCAACCAGCGTCCTGAACAGGCCAAAGTCCGCCCTCCGGAAGTCCATGGTAGCAATTTTGCTGCCTCCCCTCCTTACTTCACCGAGAATTGAGAATTCTACCATTTCATGGTCGCTAAGCCCAAGACGGCCTCCGACCACCACATCTCCCACCAGTCCTTCTCTGTTTGTGAACAGCAGGTCGAGCGAGGCACCTCCCCTGGTAGGCTCACTTACCAGCTGTGTCAGGAAGTTGTCTTCCGCACACTCCAGGAACCTCCTAGACTGCTTCCTCTCTGCCGTGTTGTATTTCCAGCAGATGTCCGGGAAGTTGAAGTCCCCCACGAGAACAAGGGCCAGCGATCGAGACACCTCTGCCAGCCGCTTGTAGAACGCTTCATCGGCGTCTTCATCCTGGTTGGGTGGTCTATAACAGACTCCCAGCAGGATATCTGCCTCGTTGACCTTCCCCCTCATCCTTACCCATAAACACTCAACCGTATCATCATCACCACAATCGTTGAGCTCTATACAATCGAAACACTCCCTAACATACAGAGCCACCCCGCCGCCTCTCCTTCCTCGCCTGTCCCTTCTGAAGAGTCTATAGCCATCCATTGCAGCACGCCAATCGTGAGAGTCACCCCACCACATTTCTGTGATGGCGACTAAGTCATACCTCTCCCGCTGCACGATGGCTTCCAGCTCCTCCTGCTTGCCGCCCATGCTGCGTGCATTGGTGTAGATGCACTTGAGCTGGGCTTTCGCCCCCGGCATCGGCATGCCACCCCTAGGCTCATCTCTAGCGAGCCCGGTTTTGTCCCCTTCCCCCTTCAAACCTAGTTTAAAGCCCTGTCAATGAGCCCTGCCAATTCATAAGCAATGACCCTTTTCCCCCTGTGAGACAGCTGGACTCCATCTGTCGCCAGCAGGCCCCGTGCCGTGTAAACCTCCCCATGATCAAGAAAGCCAAAATTCCTCCGATGGCACCAGCCCCTGAGCCACGTGTTGATCAGGAGTGTTTTCCTGTTAAAAGTGACAGCATGGTTTTATCAAACATTACTCAAGTAGGTCTTTAGGAGTATAAATTCTTCACACCTTCAGTTATTGCAGGAGGCCTTGATTATCTACAATCTTGAGGAACTAAAGATGCCCTCTAATAACCCTCAGCCACCAAACTGGAATATTTGGAGCACTCTAGATAATGCAGTTAGTGTTGTTTCAGCTTTCATTGAGTGAATCACTACAGCAGTGGAAAGCTACTGTTGTGTAATGCAGCATCCAAAACCACCTGTGTGGTCTTCAGTTGTCTTTTAGCTGAGGATCTGTCTAGCTCTATGTTGCTTATTTTGTGGCATCTGAAATTTTCACAGAAAAAAAAGCACATCTTATTGCCATAAAGTTTCACATAATATTAAGAAATTATTTGTAAATGTTTTCTGATTGGCTTATGATGACATTATAAACAAACAAAAAAAAAGCCTTTATTTGAGCCTCTGATTTACTTTATACTGTAGTAAACTGAAATACTTTAAAACCCTGAATCAGTATGTTTAATATAATCTGAAATTTTGTTTGTATACTCTACTGGGTCTGATCAAACATGCATCTAGCCTTGTATGCTCTCTCCGATAGTGAAATGTAGTAGGTACTTAAGAAAGGAGTAGTATATAGCTCAGTTGCTGGAAGCTTTCCATCAAGAGTAGTTTGCCAGGTATGTGAGTGCAGGCAGATTGTCATCCTGATGTAGCTAAGCTATCTATTTTAGGTGAGCTAGATCTCTGAACAACATTGAATTTTTATCATTTATGCTTCACAATATACAGGATGTTTGGTCACAAGTAGACTTGTGGAAAGCCTCCCAGCTTTGGAAGAACTGTGCAAGTTTTTTCAAATAATTGAATTTTGAATTCTTTTTATAAAATATTAGTCTTTAAAAATGTGAATTATCAAAAAGATGCATTTAAATGTTTTTCTTGCTCTAGATGCTATTTTTACTTCTTAATGACCTTTTGTTGTCTCCATGTTTACAGAATGGTTTGAAAATTTGCAAGATATGTTATAGAATTTTAATTTTTAAAAGAAGTTGAGACATAGTTTGGTGAAGTAGTAGATTCTTCATAAAAAGTCATACATGTTTTGGTGGTTGGTTTGGTTGGTGGTTTGGTTTTTTCCCCTCCCCTGAGCACAAATTACATAGATCTAAAGATACACCTGGATTCTTCAGAACATTTTCTTGCCTCCTTTCTCAGGTGTTTTTCCCAATCTGAGAAGCTATGTTGTTCAGCTGTTTTAGATAAATAATAGTCCTTAAATTTAACAAAATACCTAGTAAAGAAATACTTGAATATCTGCTGGCCCAAAATGCCATTTGAGTATGAAAATTATAACATATATTAACACGAGTGCGCCATTTTCCTCTGATGTGTACTTTAGCTGTTTGGTTTTTTTCTCTCTTTTTCAGCAACTATAACCAGTTCATCAGAAAACGATGATCGTAGTGGATCCAGTTTGGAATGGAGCAAGGATGGGAGTCTCAGAGCTGGAAGACATCAAGGGATTAGTCACGATCGAAGAACAGATAATTGTTCACCAGTTGCAGAAGAGGAAGCCATTGGATCTGCTGAGAATTTGCCAAAAGTACTACCAACAGGAGAGGGTCCCGTTCCTTATGCTCAAAGTTCTGGCTCTTTAATAATGCCTCGTCCAAACTCTGTTGCAGGTAAAGTCCTGATGTAGAAAAAAAGGATGTTCTTAATGATAGGACATTTCTGTTGAAGCTTTCTGTTGAAGTTATGTTGTTAGTATGAAAGTATTTTTATAGGACAAAAGGCATAGGTTCTAAACTGAATAGAAGAGCATTATCTAAGTTGTTTAAAATTGTCATACAGAGGGCTTTTATTGTGGTTTTTAGTAGGTATTGGTTAGGTCAGGACTTTTGGAACACTTCAAAAGTCCATTAGTCATTCTAGGACTGTATCTGCTGTCAACTAATCCTTGAGGTTGTCGCTTTTGTCTATGCTCGCATTTGCTAGATCTGTAAATCTGACTAACACTAAGACCAAAATCATACTTTGATCTCTGTTGAACAAGTGACATATATCTTTTTTTAAAGAACTAAGTGGAATTCTGCCTTCTAGTTGAACCATTCATCCAGAAAACGTGAGTCTGTTCAGTTGTGATAGATACATATGTGACCTTACCATTACTTTTTCTAAGTGTTGTGAAATAGGCAAATCTCTGCAAAAGCAGTTCTGACTTAAAATCTATTAGCAGAGCCCACCAAATTCCAACAGTAACGGGCAATTTGCTTACATAAATATAACCCTGCAAGAAGAATGTTCTGGTAAGTGTTCAGAAGCATGGGTGCCATATATCTGGGGGTAGGTTTAGCTAACTAAAAATTCAAAGTTAAAAAACTTGGTAAATACAGAGTGAAGAAAACTTCAGTAATGAGGTTAGGGCTTGGGAGTTGGTGATTCCTAGAGGGAAGAGGGGAGGATATTATACTTCATTCCAGCTAGAAAATATTGTCAGTAAAAGGAAGTATTTTTACTATAAAAAATGAAGCAAAAATTGATGCATGGAATTTTCTTAGTATGGCAAGATGTATAGAGGAAATACTGCGAGTAAACCAACTTTTTAAATTGTCAATGGCAGAATTTTGGCAAAGAACATGCTAGCAATTTTGATGAGAATCTTTTAAGTTCTGACAATACCACTTTAAATTTTGGAAGGTTATAGATTGTAATATGAGGACTAGTTCTGTGTTTTCATTGTGAAGGCAGAAACATGTTGGCTCAGCTGGGGGGAAAAAAAAAGAAACACTCTCCATTTCATTTTCAAAGGAAGTATATAATGTGTTTATTCCAGAAAAGTCCCACAAATTTTAATATATTGGAATTGCAACAGAAAAAGATGCTAATATGCAGCTCAGTAAATGTTATCAAGAACTTAAGACTTGTCAGTAATAGCCAAAATCCGATGCTTTTAAAAAAACAGTCCTACATTTAGATGCTTCATGAAGTGTCATGAAAGATAGAAACACACAATGCAATCATAATAAAGGTAATTTGAGGTTTTAAGATACCATGAAAGTTATTAGTACACTGTTTCAAAATTCTGTGGTTGAAGGATTATTTTTCAGCACCATGTTATGGTATGAATACAATAATGCCCAGGTTCACTGGGGAAGAGAGTATGCCACAGTTCTCCATAAAACTGCTGTTATCACAGAACAAAGCTTTCTGCTATGTTTGTTCATTAGAATCATCCTGTTGACAAAAGTGAATGTCTGACAGTGAACAGCAGCAAACAATTGTAATAAATTTGCATGTGTTTAGCTATTTGACATAGTTATAAAATTACAAATGTTAGAAATAATTTTGAGTCTGCTTTGAAAATAGCTTGATTTATCTGCAGTTTGCCCATGGAATGAGCCGAGTTACAGTTTTATAGTGCTGAAAAGTTAATGCTCTGTGCAAATTGCCCCATGTCAAAGGAAATGTAGTATCCTGATCTTAAATGTTCTAGTATCTGATAGTGCAGAGCTTTTGGCTACAGATTTTTGTGAAATCTAGTGTGACTGAAGAAATTTTTCCTAGATGAATGTGGGATTAGAAGTTGTCACACCTCCAATCCCTGCTAGAGAAGCAGGAGTGTTGTTTTAGGAATCATTGAACTGTGTCTTGCTTTTACTGCTTCCCCTTTTATTATGTCTCAGTTCCTATTCTGGAGTTCTGAGATGGACCATAAGCATGCCATGCTCCTGCTTTTCCTTTTATCATATGTTATTCTCTTCCTGAAGAAAACTTCCTAGTTAATGAATGTGACGAAGATGATATTCCAACTCTGCATCGTATGGTCAAGGTCATGTGTTCTGCTCTGATTATCATTTGGAGCATTTGTATTTGCTTGCATGTGATTCATGTTTTTTCCACATACTTGATTTGCATGTCCGTTTAAAACTGGTGCCTTTTGGAGATGGACACTAATTTTGCTGACTCTAGGACAAGACAGGGGAGGAAGCAGCAACCACCTTCTTTTCATGGATATTATAGCACTACTGCATAAATTTTGGGGAATTTCACTCTGAACTAAATGGCTTTGTTGCCAAAGAGGACTGCAGTAACTGCCCTTTCATTGTTATAGTCTATTGTCTGAAATACAGATCCCCAGATTTTAGCTTTGGCATCTCGTAGACTTATGAGTACCTGAGTTTTTTGAGTGTTAAAAAAGCGTAGACTACTTTAGGTTGTAAGGGGCCCCTGGAGGTTTCTGGTCCACCGTCTCACTTGAAGCACATCCAATTAGAACAGTTTGCCCAGGGCCTTGTTCAGTTGAGTGTTGAGTAACTCCAAGGATGACTATTCCCCCGTGTCTTTGGGCAGCTTGTTTGGGTATCCTCAGTGATTATTGTATCTAGTGTGTGTCTATATCTATTCCCATGTTCCAACCTATGTTCATTGCCTCTCATCCTGTTACTGTGCCCCTTCAAGAAGAGTCCGATGGTGGCCTCCTGTTAGGTAAAGAATGACAGTAAGCTGCTGTCTTAGCCATCTCTGTTCAAAACTGAACAAACTCAGTTCAAACCTGCAACCTCCCTTTCAGTTTGTTGCAAAGGAATTCTGCCCAGCCTCTCGTATTTTTAAAGTGACATCCACAGGAGCATTGGCTCTTTTTGGCTCTGGCTCTTTTTCTAGTCTTTAAATTCTGGAGGACTCTGCATTTCCCTTGGTTGAACTTCATGAGATTCCACTCAGCCCAGTTCTTCAGCCTGTCAAGATCCATCAGAACGCCAGCACAGTCATCTGGCATATCAGCCATTCCTCCCAGTCTTGTATCATCTGCAAACTTGGTGAGGTTGCACTCTGCCCCGTTAATGAAGATATTAAACAGTATTAGACCCAGTGCTGACTGCCAGAGTATACCACTAGTGAGTTGCCTCCAGCTGGACTGTGTGCCACTGATCACAACCCTCTGGGCCCATTCATTTTCAGCCAGTTTTGGGTCCACCTCACTGTGCATTTACATAACCTGTACTTCATCAGCTTGTCCATGACAATGTTATGGGAAACAGTGTCAGAAGCCTTACTAAAGTTGAGGTAGACAACATCCACAGGTCTCCCCCCATCCACCAAGCCGGTCATCGTCTTATAGTGTCATAGAATCACAGAATGGTTTGGGTTGGAAGGGACCTTTAAAGATCACCTAGTTCCAACCCTCCTGCTGTGGACAGGGGCATCTTTCACTAGATGAGGTTGCTCAAAGCCCCATCCAGCTTGTGTTCAGTTGAGAGTTCCTTGCTTATCTATGCAGACCTCCTGCCATATTTGCTTTATTTCCTACTTGTCAGGATGGCCTTTTCTTGAGCTTGCAGGAGGTTATCCTTGAGTGTCAACCAGCTCTTTTGGATCCCTCTTCTCTCCAGGACTGTATGCTATGGGATTCTTCCAAACAGAACTCTGAAAGATTAAAGTCTGTGCTCCTGAAATCTGGTGTTGTGCTCCTGCTTTTTGCTCTGTGCTCCCTTATTAGGATCCTGAACTCCACCATCTCATGGTCACTGCAGCCAAGAATGCCCCCAACTTTCACATCTATGGCAAGTTCTTCCTTGTTTGTATCAGGTCCAGCAGAGCATCTTTCCTTTTTGGCTTCTTAGTCGCCTATGTCAGGAAGTTGTTATCAATGCACTCCAGAAATCTGAATTGCTTATGCCCTGCTGTGTTGTTCCTCCAACAGATGGAAGACTTTGGATTTGATATCAATTTGCAAACTACTTTTTTTTAATGTGAATATTCATTTGGTTTATTTCTGGTGAAAAAGTGTATCCCTGATATTACTTGGCAAATCAGTTCTCTGGATTTTCAGTTCTTCTTTTGTATAGCTATCATTGTGGTTTAAAAATCAAAGAAAATAAAAAATGTTATCCAGAGTTCTGTAGCATTTGATACAAAAAGAATAGAACTATTTCCTCACAGATAGTGTACTAGCAGCTAGTATCTGAACCTGTTCCTAACACTTCTGACCTCACTGATATGGTTGTTCTCATAGTAAAAAAAGGAAACTGTATTAACATGAGAACTGTTTACCACATGAGGAAGTTAAGGCAGACATGAGGGCCATCTGAAGGGGGGAAAATCCAACTAAATTTTTAGTGAACTTGATTGAAAAGCGTTTTGTAAATGTTATAACATGAATGACTTCAACCACTGCCAATGTCTAGAAAAATTTACCTGTAAGTACTATGTTGAGGAAAGAACTGTAATAAATAATAATGTTCTTTGTAACTTATGCTGAGAGAAAAATAAGCTTCAGTCATTTAATACTCTAGCAACAAGTTCAACCAAACTGGAAGATCTGAGTTATTTGGATGGACAAAGAAATACTCCTTTACGCACTTCAATTCGCTTACCTTGGCACAACACTGCTGGTGGAAGAGTGCAGCAGGAAAGTAAAGGTACACATATTTACATCTGCATCTGTCTTGGCACAAGCATACAGTTCTTCAGTAGTTTTGTAACATGGATGTTCTGTGATCTTTGTAAACACCCCTATCCCACAAAGTGTTATTTTAGAATGCTCCTGACAGGTCACTCGACATGCCTGAAAATAAGATGCTTGCTTACACTTTTTCCTGCATAATGCTGTGGTTTAGAAATTGAATGTATGTCTTTTAATAAGAAATCAGTATATTGTTTATCTAAGTGTGTATGGGCAGTGCAGTGCAGATCATGTGAATCTCCAAACTGAAGCTGTGTAATACCAGTGTTCAGGAACTGTACTGAATATTTTCTTGACTGACAGATTTTATTATGTGACATTCAGTTAAGAGTGTACTGCAGCTTAAGAAATACTGTGCTGAATTTAAAATTTCCAAGAGGCTGTCAATAGAATTCTGTTTTAGGAAGAAAACTGATCTAATACCATTAGACTTATTTATGACTAATATATACTTCGATATCTCTGGTCTTTGAGTCTGAAAATAGCAGGTTTATGTTAAATACAAGTGATGTATGCAGGTTTTTGTTTTCTCCTCAAAGTTACCAAGGCAAAAATCTTAGTGCACTATAACACAAGGTTATGCATGATATTGGTCACTTACAAAGGATCTGCAGTGTGTGAGAGGTCTGCCTTGAGGAGCAACCTTGAGGGCATCCCAGCTCAAGGGGAGATCACAGCCATGCAGCCAGCTGCTTAGCAGGGAGAGCTCAAAGAAGGCTCACTTAGGCTGCCATATTTATGGAATAAAGTAGTTGGCTTGTAGTCAAATTACATGCGATGGAAAAGGTATGCATGAGACTCCTTGTACCCACAACTTTCTTTGTTCCCTGATGAATGATTCTTTGAAAAGCCACCTGCTGTTCATGTGTTAATCGTGTGATCGGTGTTCCAAGCTCATACGCATCGATGCTTACTGTGTCACACTGTTCCTCTGTGGGTTTTCAGAGAACCGACTGGAACTAGAGAAGTTCTTGGCCTGGTTACAGCTTAGGCCTTTACCTCCTTTGGAGCCTGAACCAAACTACCGCTAGTATGGTCAAGGAGTTGAGTGCATCCATCACAACCAATAACAGTTAAAAGCAGAAAAATTTAAGCAAATTCCTGGTAAAACTGATCTTGAGATCGTATATAGATGCTATGCTGTCCTCTTTCATTTATGTTTTTTCATAGTCTTAAATTAATGCTGAAATTAGATTACAGCATTTGTGTAACATTAGATTTGGTTAATGAATCCTCAGAACATTATATTAGTGAACATTATTATTTCTGGAAATTTTAATGTATTTTATGCAACCAAACCCAAATTATTCTTCTCTCTGTAAGTCTTGTCAGGTCTTTGCCAAATATGCAGATTAAAGTAATCAAACATGACTGTACTTTCAGCTGTGCTGTGTAATTTCTGTTCTTGTGGCTTCAAAAGTACAGAAAAACAGGGTAGTATTTTTTTTACATTATTTTAAAAATATGGGTTTTTTTAAACCAGAAAAATCTATTTATTCTCTGTACCTTTTTCTGTTTCTCTGTAAATGTCTTTACAGATCTGAAGACTTGACACTGAGATGCTCAGCAGTGTAGTTCACTCTAAACTGAAAAATGTTTGGCACTTCCCCATTTATAGAATTATTAATGCATTTTTAAGAAAACTTATGGATTCTGCAACTTATTAACTCAAGTTTAATTGTAAAAAAAAAAAAAACAACCAAACAAAATCCTCAAATTATACTTGTAGCTTCTTTCCTCTAGAATTTAATTCACATAGGAATTATGGAGGTGACCTGAACTGAGCAAATCAGTCTTTATTGTTTTCATGATGAAAGCTCTAATAAGTCTGATTATGAACACTATTAACAAGGTTACTGAATTAAATGATCTTTTGAAACAGTGCTGTTTTATTGCATGTTGAGTTTCTTCTAATAAACTTTTCTCCCTGCCACCTTTTCTCAGCTCGTTTCATCCCCTATAAGCCTCAAGACATTTTGCTGAAGCCACTGTTGTTTGAAGTGCCAAGCATAACAACAGACTCTGTGTTTGTTGGAAGAGAATGGCTGTTTCAAGCGATTGAAGAAAAATTGAAGAATACTGATCCAGCAGAGAACAGGGGAGCAGTCGTTACTGGAAATGTGGGATTTGGGAAGACTGCAGTTATTTCACGGCTGGTGGCACTTAGCTGCCATGGAAGTCGCATGAGGCAAATAGCTTCAAATAGCCCTAATTCATCCCCCAAAAGTATGTTCCTTTTCTGAGTAATTGTTTGGCTTAGTGTACTGATAACAAGAGTTGAATGTTGTGTGGTTTTTTGGCTTACAGTAGTCGGGCCTCATCAACTCCTCGGCAAATACTTGTTTCCTCCAGTGAGGAAATGAAACTGTTAAAATTGTATGCTTTGACAAATACTTTCCACTTAACATAGCGTGGGCTCAGCCCATCAAGAGAGACAGTAAAATGAGACAATATGTAGAATTTCTTCCTTCTGTCAGGCAGTGTGTACCCTAAACTCTGTTGGTAGTGTGACTGTAGTAGCTTGTTCTCCCATTAGTTTAGAAAGAGGCAAGTAACATGTTTCTTCCCCACTGTGTACCACACGCTTTTCAGTACTGCACAGTTTCCATAGAATTTCAGTAGAGGCAAGAATAAAGCTATGGAGTAACGCGTTCTGTCTTCTACTGGGATCCATAGGGTTCTGTCACCTGACCAATCCAGTGCCTACACTAACTGGAAGGATGTGACTGTCACTACTGCTACTTCCCCTCCTGACATTTCAAATAATAATAATAATTAATAATAAGAAGAATGATAAATTGTTTATATTTCCCAACCCTTCAGTCATATAATAACTATTACTTTAAATGAGTCATCACATATATAACGTTCATAAGGAAACTCTTCACATCAGTATGGTTTTGCTTTCAGTAATTCTATAGTTTTATTCTAAAAGTCAGTTGAATTGTTTTAAAATTGTAAAGTTGCAAATATGTGCCTGTATTTATCAGACTAGTTGCAGGCTTCTTGTAATGCTGTTGTTCAGTTTTAATTTCTACTCTAGCAGTAAAGATATTCTGTGATGGTTTCCTACAAAACAATCTGCTATTAGCAAATTTGGTCTCTTTTGTATTTGTTGTCTTTTAAAAATAGGTGGTGAATCCTGTCAGGAGATTCCCTTAAGTCAGTTACCCTCATCTGCTCCTCCAACAAGTGGTACAAATACAGTGAAGACTCTGAATTGTCCTGGTACTCCTGAATACCAAAATCAAACAGGTGATTCTGTGAGGCGCCTTGCTTCAAAGGTGAGTTTTCACTTACTAATAGTTTTTCAGTATGTTAGAAAACTTCTAACCTGGGGGGAGACAGTCTGCTTTGCAAAGCCTCCTGGGTATGCCAGTAGTCAGTGGTGGGAGAACAGGCAGTAACCTTGGACACTTCTAAAAGATGTGTATGTTTCAAGACTGGTGAAACCAGCTACCTACCTTTTCTACCTTTCAAGTTATTACCTGAATTCTGCTTGGTCTTAGAACGAGTTACGTGAAAAATTTCACATCTGTTTTATATGTGTATGGGAGGTTGGAATCCTTTACTTGCAAAAGGGGCTGTATATTCTCTACAGGTAGATGCTCACTGTACCTTCCAAAAGCAAAATTTTGGAAGAAAAAAAGAAGGTAAAATGTTTGGTCTGTGTATAATCCATCTATATTCTATGATACAGGTTGAGTCTGAATTTAGGCTATTTTCCATACTCTGAGAGTCTGAAGTAAGCAATTAAAAGTTATTTTTGCATTAGATTATTATAAGTTTTAATTTTTGCCTAAGTAGTAAAAATAATTAATGTCTGGATTGCATATTTTATGCAAATAGTTGTGAGGAAAACATGGGGTTATTGTTGCAGTCTTTAAGGTGATGTGATTATTTGGAAACAATGTTAGGAAAGCCACTGAAGTGCAAACTTATTTACTGTGAGCACTGTTTTCCTTGTGGTTTGATTTTTTTTTTTTTTCCAAAGAAGTATGGCCTATGTTATGTTTTATTTTTAAGTAATACACACCTTTGCAATAATCAGAATAAAGCCAGTTGTCCTCTTTCTCTGTTTGCTATATGAGGATGTCTTTAATAGCTGTCTGTCATTTACTTTTGCCTGATGATGATCAAATTAGTTCTTGGGTCATTACAGTGTGTGACACGGTGTTGTTAAATTATAGCTAATAGGTTGCTTAGTCAGAGCTTCAAGTTATTTTTCTTGTGCTGCTTAGTGACTTAGCTGTTTACCCACTGTATGCAAATGGCATGAACTCAAATTACTATGTTTTCCTGCCAGAATCTGACATTTTTATTTCTTTTCCTCTTTGCATGCCCTACAAGGTCAAGATCTATTTCATTGTCTTCCTTTCTATGTCTCTGACACAGGCCATCTGAGACCAGTTGCAGAGTTGGATAATTATTCTAACACTGACAAACATTTTGTAGTTGAAGAGAAATTTAGTAACACTTCATTGTAATTTGACTAACTAGTAACCAACTTAAATATTGAAGGGGTAAAACTTTTTTTTTTAAAATTCTCCAGGTCGTTGCTTACCACTACTGTCAAGCTGACAACACATACACGTGTCTTGTCCCAGAATTCGTGCACAGTATTGCAGCTTTACTTTGTCGTTCAAATCAATTAACGGCATACAGAGATCTTCTAATAAAAGAGCCTCACTTACAAAGCATGCTTAGCCTGAGATCTTGTGTCCAAGATCCAGGGGCAGCTTTTAAAAGGGGAGTGTTGGAACCACTTTCAAACCTCAGGAAAGGTAGGTTAAGCAGGAAGTGGCTTGGAAACTGAATCTAAACTGCATAAAAAGTAAAAAAAAAAGTAAGAATATGTATTTTAATGCTCTAAGAGAAATAAATAAATCGGAACATTCCTGGAGAAAGGGATTCCTTAATTGTGGTCGTTGTTTGTAACAATAATATGTAAGTTTTGAATAGTTGTTTCATGTTCTATAATACAGTTCTGTGAAACTTATTAAAGATTGTGAAAACTTTACATTTATGTTTTTTGCCAGAAAACTCAAGGATAACTTTGTAGGTTGAAGTTAAGGCTGGCACGTTTGCATTAAAGGATTTTGTTTTCAGATACTTTTGAGTTTTGTCATGCTTTTTTGTTTTGTAATTTTCCATGCCTAAACACCTGCAAAGTGGATGTGTTTCTTGCTTGCTTTTAAAATTGACATGGCAATTTTCCAAGAAAGCATGTAAAAACATGACTTCTGTATTTAAAAAAAAAAAACCAACAAAAAAACTGGCAAACTCCTCCTTGAAAACAGCTAGCTTCACAGTATATGCCAGCTTGAGCAGATACTTGATAGATGGCAAGACGGGGGAGCAGATTTGCTCGTGTGTGAACAGAGCATGTGTCATTCCTGTGAAAACTGGTTTGCAGTTCTTGAATTTTGTTGACTGTCAACAAATATCTATGAAATCCATTGGCAAATCTTATGCTTACCCCTGGGATTTTCATCCTTAACAAGTGCTCAAATTGAATTTTGCTCGTTTCTCAAGTTGTTGCAGAATAACCTTTTCTCCTCAGAACTGAAAGTGTAAACCAACGTCTTTATGATTTTTGCAAATTGTAGCCTTTTTTTTTGTTTGAGTCCAATAAAGGATAAGTGTCCTGGTTTCGGCAGGGATAGAGTTAATTTCCTTCCTAGTAGCTGGTACAGTGCTATGTTTTGGATTTAGGATGAGAACAATGTTGATAACACACCCATGTTTTAGTTGTTGCTAAGTAGTGCTTAGCTAGTCAAGGACTTTTCAACTTCCCATGCTCTACTGACTGAGAAGGCTGGAGGTGCACAAGAAGCTGGGAGGGGGCACAGCCAGGACAGCTGACCCAAACTGGCCAAAGGGACATTCCATACCATAGGACATCATGCTCAGTATATAAACTGGGGAAAGCTGGCTGGGGGTGCCACTGCTCAGGGACTGGCTAGGCATCAGTCAGCAGGTGGTGAGCAATTGCACTGTGCATCACTTGCTTTGTATATTATTATTATTACTACTACATTATTATTGTTGTTATTATTTTATTATTATACTGTTTTTATTTTTATCTCCACCCACTTGTTTATACATTTCAAATGTAAACCAAGATGAGTAAAAGTACTGTAGTTTTACTGTAGTAAAATCATAGAATCATAGAATCATAGAATCATTAAGGTTGGAAGAGACCTCCAAGATCATCGAGTCCAACCATCGACCCAACACCACCATGCCCACTAAACCATGTCCCTAAGCGCCTCATCTACCCGTCTTTTAAATACCTCCAGGGATGGTGACTCCACCACTTCCCTGGGCAGCCTGTTCCAATGTTTAACCACTCTTTCAGTAAAGAAATTTTTCCTCATGTCCAAGGTGGTGTGTGGTTAAACCACAACAATAAGTTTAAAGTAAATAGCTAATAATTAAAAGCAGTGTTAACTAATAGCTTAAACAACCTACATATCCCTTCTTCCCATATCCATGCATCCCTTACCTCTTACATGTTAACAGCCTTGTTTAATCTTTTAACTCTTTTTAAATCAGTTGTGAAATAGATCCATAATATAGTGCAGTAAAAGTCACTATTGTAAGTGATTGCTTCCACTTTTTAGCATTTTATGGCAATGTTGTTTTAGATCTCCTAATGTTGATTTTAATCTCCTAAATAATGCTTAAATGCCTTAAGGTATATTGTTGTGCGTAAAGAAACATTTTTATTTCTTGATGTTAAAAATTTGGGGATAAAAATAAGAATTTGTATTCATCTTTTTTTATTTTTATATTTCAGAGCGGAAAATTCCTGAGGAAGACTACATAATTTTGATAGATGGTTTAAATGATGCTGAATTTCATAAACCTGATTATGGTGACACACTTTCTTCATTTATCACAAACATAATATGTAAGTTTCCTCCCTGGCTGAAGCTCATTGTGACAGTAAGAACTAACTTCCAGGTAAAAACACCTTTTAACTTTTTTCTTACCCTCAAAGCCTACGTGATCTTTTATATCAGTGCAGCTGCATTATTATGAAAAATACCAGGTTTAGCGGAATTAAAAGTAAAGTTTCTTGGTGTTTTTTTTCCTTCCTTCCTTCGTTGTTTCATGTTTCTTTACAGTGCACAAATATGGTATTGGAGGCCTTTTTTGTTTTGAATCACTTTCTTGAGTATGCTAGTAGAACTGATAATACAAGAAGTGGTGAAATCAGAGTATGTTTCTTTGGCCTTCAGGAGTGAAATGGGCAAATGAATGATTGAAAGCTTAAAAAAAATAAAAGCAATTAGAAACCCACAGTGATTTTTCCCTTCAACATTTACTTGTTGGAGTGTATTTCTGCTAGTATTAAGCTCTGGATTTTCACTTTTTAGGAAGGGATAAGCCACAATTCCACTATCTGTGTTGATGAGATTGATTTCTGGCCTTATTACCATTGATATCTCTGTATCTCTTCGTCTGCTGCCCCTGAAAAAACCCAGCCTCAAAACTTCTGGTTAAAGCATTTTGTCAGAATTAAGCAGCTAAGAGATACTTGCAGAAATCCTGAGAGTGTTTAAGTGAGGCCATACAGAACTCCTATTTTTCTGTGCTGGACAGCAATGTTCTGAACAAAGTTCTGGTTTTGTTTCCAGCACTAGTCAGGCTGTTTTAAGATAGTCACCTTCAGTTCACTTCAGTTTAAAAAAGGAGGTGTGTCTGTTTTAGTCTTTCACGGTATCTCTGAGATAGCACCCTTTATATATTTTGACAGTGCTTGAGATACAGCTCTACCAGTCCTATACTGCCACTTGACTAGGCATCCCTCATTCTCAAAGACGACGACTTGAAGGAGGACTGAAGTCCAGCTCTATAGTAGCTGTTTCCTAATGCAGTTGAGAGTATATCTGGACAGAAGTAGGCAGATGGCTCCAGAGTTGCTCTGTGCACCCAGCTGACAAGGTGCAAGACAATGCTCATGTGAAGTCTGTTTTGACAATGTTAAGGTGCAGCTGTGCTTCAGTACAGCCTTCTGAGAGTTTATTTCATATCTGCCTTCTTGCCACTAGGACTCTAAGCATTTAACTGGCTGAAGAGTTTAGTTGTCTACTGAATTCTTATTTTTAACAAGGGATTTCTGCAGTAGGGACTATTTCCTGTCTGGAGGGCTGTGCATCTGTGGTGAAAACATCTCACTAGCCTGAAAGTTCAGCTTCTTGAAATCCATGTAACTGCTTTAAAGTGGAATAAAGAGTTCCTTTTTGTGTTGTGAAAGCGTTGAGAAGTTTGTTAAACCCTTCTGATATATGCCTCTATGTAAGAACTTTTAGGTCTTTTGGATCTTTATTTACATAAACATAAATGTGTTCTGTGTTACATAAACATAAAAATGTGTTCAGGTAAACCTGTTGAAGTACCGTACTTGGTACCTGCCTTAAACTAAATGGGGCTGTATATGTGTGGATGGTACCTTTCTGGTACATTGTTACTGGAAGATGTAATGATGAGGACATTCCATTCTTTTCTCTCTTGTCATTTGTGATACTTCTTAATCATTCCTTCTTAAAAACCTCCCCCCTTCCCCTGGCCTGTCTTAGGGTCCAATTCTGGTAACTGTTTTCTGTTCCCTTAATTTTGAAGTGATCATTTCTATAGCTCATCCCCCTCAGTTGCCTTGCTGAGCTTGGTCAGTAGAATATTTGACACCTTCCTATGAAAAATGATGAAATGTAGAAATACTGTTCTACCTGTTATTCAGGGGACAATATTTGCAAAGCCATCACAGAGATACTGAATTTCTTTTTAATCTGCCTGGTACTCATTACAGAAGAGAAATATAGCAAAGATGCATTGTTGAGTTCTCAGTGCTGGAATACTGTAATGCCCGTGTGGTTTGTTTTGTTTTGTTTTTTCCTTCTCTTTTTCTCCTCTCCCCCTCATAGGAAGTAGTAAGTTCACTGCCCTTTATTGCAATATCCCTGGACAATTTTCCAGACAACAAAGAAATTCATGATGACTTGAATGCTTATATTCAGTACAGAATTAATAACAGCCAGGAAATTATAAACAACATATCCTTAAATGGAAAAGCTGATGCAGCTATTATTGGGAAAGTGAGTAACCACCTGATCATGAGAAGCCTGGGATCTTATCTCTATTTGAAACTCACTCTGGATCTTTTCCAAAAAGGTCACTTAGTAATCAAAAGTGCAAGCTACAAGGTTGTTCCAGTGTCTCTATCAGAACTGTACTTACTTCAATGCAATATGAAGTTCATGACAAACTCTGCTTTTGAGCGAGCCCTACCAATATTAAATGTGGCACTGGCATCCCTACATCCCATGACAGATGACCAGATTTTCCAAGCTATTAATGCAGGCCAAATAAATGGTGAACAACAATGGGAAGACTTCAGCCAAAGGATGGAAGCCCTTTCGTGTTTTCTGATAAAAAGACGTGACAAAACACGTATGTTCTGCCATCCTTCCTTCAGGGAATGGTTTGTTTGGAGAGCAGATGGTGAAAATACTGACTTCTTATGTGAGCCAAGGTAAATGAAACCTGCAGTAAATCATGTTCAAATAACTGCAATTATGTTTTATATAATTGATTGTAACAATTGGTGAGAGGAGAGAGTAATGTTAAAGCACAAGCACGCCTAATTTTTTCCAAAATGAAAACTTTTCTATATTTAGAGGTAGACTTGACCAGAAGTATCAGAGGTCACAATGCATAATTGACTTCATAGAATTTGCAAATTTGCATTTGATTTTGCTACCTTCATGGGGAAATGAGAGTATTATGTTGTTATTAATATAGCAGAGTTGTTGACAATTATGTGCAGCAACACCTTGTCTATTTAGAGTGTAGGAATAGAAAGAACAGATCATTTGGGCTCTTCTAAACATAAAAAAATTAAGACATTTCATTCTATAATTATGTCCTCATGACATTGTTTCAGTTTGTTCCATCTCACCTTCTTTGACTTAGAGAGCATTAATTAGTTAAATTGGAGACAATAAGACAATTATTGTACGTGCACATTTTTGCCGTCTGCATTTTCCATTTTTTTCATATTCTTCAGGTTTTAGTTTTTTTGTTTTTACAAAAGAATAAATAATGCTGACGTTTAAAATTATCACCAACCCAAGACTTCTCTGTGCTTTCCAGCAGATTTAACAAAAACAGTTCAGTAGGTGGAATTATCAGGGTTGCAGACTGTTTGGCCCCTACCATTTTTCAATGTTGCTAGCTGCACCCTGGGCCCATTGAATACCTGATGCACAGTGCATGCTCTAACAGAAGGTGGCATGTTGCCTAGTCTTACTTAAAGCTTCCGTTTTCAAAAAGTTCTGTTCAGAAATTTCTGAAGATGGGGCAAGAAGCCCCCCACAACTTCATCCCCCAGATGAATAGTCTAATTAGCATGTGGTTAATTGCCCAGTTCCAGTATATAGCCTGTATACTGGAATGTATAGTATGCGATAACCTTGTTTTCTCAGGGTTATGCCATTTCCACTGTTTCTTAGAACACTGACCAGCGACTAATGTAGATGTAGAATTACTAAATACACATTTTATCTCAAATTTCAAAAGATTTTAGATCTACTTCTGAAAGGATTGAGTTTTATCTGAGGTAACCTGCAGTTTCTGACTATGAGATGAAACAAGACAAAAGGGGGAAGCAGTATGCAAATTGGTGTCCAAAGCTGCATTGGTTCTGACATGGGCCTCTTGTGAGGTGACAGTAGAGAAATATTAGGATTGTGTTTCAACTTTGAAATTTGCCTTTTTTCTCTTTGCATTATTTTGTTATGGAAAGAATTTTGTTGAGAAGTAATGGTATGTTTCAGTAGTCTGGCAAAGTTGAGCTATTATGACAGGCATACAGATGTGTTAGGATATTTACTGAAAGTATAGTTATAAAAGCAGTTCTTTCTTAATCCTTTTTACTAGGAACGGACATGCTCTACTGGCTTTCATGTTTTCTCGACAAGAGGGAAAGTTAAACCGCCAACAGACTATGGAACTTGGTCATCATATACTGAAAGCTCATATTTTTAAGGTAAAGCTTACAGCTTTAGTAGGTTTTATGATCTATTCATATGGATACGTCTTAGAGATTCTCCTCTGAGTTGCTTTAATAATTTGTTAGAAGCTTATGCAAAATACTCGGTAGTGCTAACAGACAAAGTTGTTGCTTCTCTTTATACTGATGAGGTGTAGATATAAATAGTATTTCTAATCCTATAGAGAGATTTCATAGAATCATAGAATAGGTTGGGTTGGAAGGGACCTCTAAAGGTCATCTAGTCCAACCCCCCTGCCGTGGGCAGGGACATCTTCAACTAAATCAGGTTGCTCAGAGCCCCATCCAGCCTGACCTTGAATGTTTCCAGGGGTGGGACATCTGCCACCTCTCTGGGCAACCTGTTCCAGTGTTTCATCACCCTCAGCATAAAAAATGTCTTCCTTATATCTAGTCTATATCTACCCTCTTTTAGTTTAAAACCATTACCCCTTGTCCTATTGCTGTAGGCCCTGCTAAAAGGTTTGTCCCCATCTTTCTTACAAGCCCCCTTTTAAGTATTGAAAGGTCGCAATAAGGTCTCCTTGGAGCCTCCTCTTCTCCGGGCTGAACAATCCCAACTCTCTCAGCCTTTCTTCCTAGGAGAGGTGTTCCATCCCCCTGATCATTTTCGTGGCCCTCTTCTGGACCCGATCCAACAGGTCCGTGTCTTTCTTATGCTGAGGGCTCCAGAGCTGGAC